CTTTCTGTCACCTCGAGGATTCAGTGAGGTTCAGAGGCAGTGTGAGAAGGTTATATAATTCTGTCAAGAGATCATGTCTTTGATTTTTTTCATCTCTTAGACCTACATGTCTACCCTTTGGGGGTCTATCACAGGCTGAGAAGTTCCAATATATTACATACCATAACACAGCAGTATAAAGAGTGCTATATAAAATATATAAATGCCCTTCCTTTGAAGAGAATAGCAGGAGCTTTCACTCCTTTCTTTCATTAAAAGAACATTACCTAATGCTGAAGAGAAACCACAGATGTATTCATATATGTATGCACATGCTTTGCCGGTAATTTGAAACACATTGTCAGATATTATCATATCTAGTGTTCCCTCTCTCACTTATATTTAAATATTCTATGCCTAATGCATAAGAGTAAAAAGTTACTTTAATCGCTTGGATAAAATATTCACCATTTAGACTTTACTATGAAAACAAAATAAATCTCACCAAGCCATTAAAAAGACACTGGAAACTCAAATGCTGCCTTCTCATCTAAAAACTCATCATGCAGTGTAGCTGACCTGCTTTTGCTCCATTTTTCCCCGTTTACTTAGCACAGGTAGTTTGTGCTCTTGCTCACATACACTGAAGCACAAAGCTGCCACACTTCTGGATGTTGCCACTTCCAACCTTGCACCCTGCCCTCCACTGGAAGACTGCAATCCCATCTCCAGTCCCGAAGAGCAGGGCAAAGGCTTTTCACTGGCAGTTTAAACTAGCAGGCGGTGTGGATGTGGGTGGCTCAAGCACAGACACATGCTCCTCTCTCTCGTCCCTGTAGGCTGACAGGAATTTCCAGCAGAACTGTAAGATGGACAGCTGTGAGCATGAAAATCTGAAATCATGGCAAGGACATCTGGCAGAGCTTGTCTGTCACAGCCCATGGCTGAAAGGCTGGTTGGCAGGGTGGGCTCTGCAGGCAGGGCTCTGCTGGAGAGAGGTGCTGGAAAGCTCAGCCCTACAAATCCTCCCCAAACAACTGGCAGCAAAGAATGAAAATAACTACAGTGCACAGAGCAATGCTGTAGCAAAGTCAGATTTCCAAGTTTAAAACAATGCTGAAACGATTCTCAGGAGTCAGGCTGGCTGAATGCACTGGGCTGAGTTCCTGTAAGAGGAAAGGATGTGAGAGGGGAATATGAAAGTATTCATGATTAATAATGATGGCTATGATGGTAACATTATCTGGTCTTCTGAATGATGCTTCCAAACATTCACAGAGAAAAAAAAAAATTCTAGATATTTTCTAGGAATTAGAAAAAACCCCTTCCATATTAAAAAAAAAAAATCTTTAATTGGTCATTTTGAAAAGAATTCAAATCGACAGCATCCCTTTTAATGATTTAAAACATCTTCAAAGCTTTATGAACTCTCCCTGTTAAATGAGGCTACTACTTTAACACATTCAAAGAGGTCTATGCAGCTTGAAAATGGACTCAAAATCCAGAAAAGAGGCCATATTTTGTTATACAAATGCAGTTCCAGGGCTTTAATGAATCCAGACAATTTACCAATAAACATAGTACATAAATTAAGTTGATTTACTATGCAATTTGCAATTTAAAAGCTTCGTATTCTACCATCTTGCCATTTTTATAGTTTATCATAATAAAAAATGAAAAGAAAGTGATATCAGTTACAGGATTCCATATTAGCTTTTCACATAAACCAGGTGCAAGCAATTAAGAATATGCTTCCTGTACTTTTAAAAAGCTTTTTGTCTATTTTCTTTTATCCATTCAGTTAAAAAGAAAAGAAATATCCAGAGCTACTCTGTACAGTTTGGGATTTTTGCTGCCTGTCCTGGCTATCTGGATGCATCAGCTCCCTTCCTGAGTACTTGGTGTCTTGTAAGGCCCATTTGAGTTCACATTAAAAGAGATAAAATTTTCATAACAAGTTATGGGAGTGATACTTCTAACAAAACTAATTTTAATTGAAATTAACTCAAATGCACACACATCTTTCCATGTTAGGTTTGGTATACCCATTTCAAACTCATTTCGTGGCAAAATTCATCACTTGGACTAAAACTAAGGTGACATTGTCACTTTAAATCACAACTCTGTATTTCAGCAATTGGCATCTCATGAAGTGGTTGTGCCACTTACAAAATATTCAAGGACAATACTAAACAACATCTACAACCTTCCCAATGTTATTTAAAGAAAAATTAGGTTTTCTATAACTCTAATTTCTTTGCCTCTTCAAATACTGTTAATATTCTTTTTCACACATCCTAGTTTCTCCTCTTTTGATTTTAATTTTTTTCTTTCTAAATTAATCCTTTGTTTGAATTGCTACTTTTGAGAGGAAAAAAAAAGAGTTGTACAACAAACAGCTGAATATTTGCCAGTTTGCTTTGGGTCTTTTCATGTTCCTTCTCAGAGGCCAGATCTGACAAGGTGCTGAGCATCAGGCAACTCACTAGAAGTTGAGGGTGCTGAGAATATCTCAGAAGAGCCTAGCATATTGCAGGATCATGCCTTGCACAGCAAGTTCTCCAAGTGATGACTATTTATCTTTCACTGAATAGACTTAGCATAAATTTTAACAACTCTGATATGACTGGGGTTTTTATAATGGGCAAAGAGGAGGTATTTTTCATGACCATATCACTCAGCACTTTGAGAATGAAGTGTACAGCAATGCCACCCAAAATGTCTGGCAAAGAACAGATGTCACAGTAACAAACACACAAATACTGGAATACATTAGAGGCAGTTGCAAGGTGTATAAGCTCTTCAGTGCTGAGAAGGCAACCAGATCACTTTAAGTCCTGCCTTAATCAAATAACAGTACAAAACAAACTTACACACAATAACCAAGCAACCTCAAGGACGACCCTCAAAGTACTGGACACTTTGCACTGTTCAGCTGGGTTGTATTTTTTATGTTAGAGATGCAGCATTTAGTAATAATCTAAATATGCACGCTAACTAAAAAGAACATTATTTTTAATGTAATTTTAGCCTAAAATTCTTACAGTTTTTCAATCTATAAGGTAGTATATATTTGCTGTTTCTCCATTTCTTGCAGATGAGCACTTATGATTTCTTTCACAGACACAGTAAAGAGCCACAGAGGCTGCAGCTGGACCCGAGCAGCAGCACCTGTATCATTGCAATCTGAACTGTGCAGGACACTGTGCTGGGAGGCCATCACTGCCCTTCTGCCAGCTGCCTCACCCAGGCAAGGCTGCAGCAACCCTGGGAGACAGCTCTCACTTACACAGGGTTGTGTGACACGATCTGTCACTGCAGGACAGAAACACACAGCTCACAGTTACCTTGGGTTAACTTCAGCAAAGGCTTACTGAAATCTTTGTTCTTAAAAGCTGAACGAATTTCCCCAGGATTTTCCTTGATATAAGAAAATTATGTTTATGGCTAAGTGCTGGCAGTTACAACTGTCCCTGTCCTAAGCTGTTACTTAACTCATGGATGCTGTGCTACTTTTCTATTCAAATGTGTGCAGTCAGGTTTTACCCACTGCACCCACACATATCACACAATCATGGAATCATAGACTCATAGAATGGCTAGGGTTGGAAGGGACCTTAAAGACTATTCAGACCCACCCCTCTTGCATGGGTGTGGACACCTTCCACTAGACCCGGTTACTCAGAGCTCCATCCAGCCTGGCCTTCCAGGGATGGGGCATCCACAAGTTTTCTGGGCATCCTGTTCCCCTGCCTCACCAGCCTCACACTAAACACTGATATAACACAGTGGTTTATGTCTACACATAATGCTCCAGCTATACAATAACTTCTGAAAATACCGAACCTTTCATTATGAATAATCCACCCAAATTAAAATCTTACCCTCTTTGTGAAACCTGAATTAAACAGCCCCTCCTGATAATAAAACTATCAATACAGACAAAGATGTATTGCAGAAGCAGTGGGCCTATAGGCATTATAGAAAGCTGAAAAAAAATTGTATATGAAATGGGGTTTGAGGTGTGGTTTCTCTAATATATATACAGCACAGCCTTCATTTTTGTTAACCTCATGTGAATATACTTTAAAAACATTTAAAAATCACACTTAAGCAGTGTCCATTTGCTTCATCCACCAGATCCACAGCAAAGTCCACAGAGCAGAAATGGTGCTGTAAACCTCCCCCTGAATACCAGAAACCAGGGATGTTTCCAGGGAGCTCTTGGTAAACCTTGTCCTGATGACAGAACTGCAGTAGCTTGCCATGCAACAATTTGTTTAGAAAATGCTAGCAGTAGGTTTCCATTCAAAAATAAGCACAGCCCTCATCTAATTACAGAATGACTTTCCATCTCAAATGGAAAGTCAATATCCTCTCAAATATATCCTCTCAAATTTCTATACCTACATATATAACATTCATTAACCCTATATATCTTAAAAATCTATTACAATGTAGCTATGTAGATGTTCAAGGAAGAGAAATGGCAAGCATTTGTTCTCAATCTACACAAGCAAAAGGACTAAGAAATACTAGATCACAAAGCAAAAAACCCAACAAAAACTAACAAACTATAAGAAATATTGTGAAAAGTTCTTGCTCCTAAAAATTCTTGCTCCTTTTGAACTACTCAGCTTATATCAGAAAACATCAATAAAAATAGTTAACCCTTCATAATTTACTCAGTTTTAGCAATTAAGAATTTTTCCTTTTGTTTCTGTTTTGTTCTTTTCTAAACATAAATGCATATAATTTTTTTGAGTTTAGTATTTTCCTTTATCACATCTCTTTCATCTTTTTTTATTGGACATAATTTCTACTGCTGGTGCTTTGCATACTTTGAGCTACCAACAGGTTAGACCTGAGGTTTGTATTTCCTTCTCATCATTCACACATATGAAAAAAAGAAAAAAGGAAGAAATTGTATTTCTAAATTTTTTGACGCCTTACTGTGTCCACAAACTTCTTTCCATACTCACCTTAGTAAGCCTCTCAAAGTTTCCTATCATTAACCTCTTTACTGGTCTGTATTCTGCCTTCTCTCTTTTTGCTTTACATTCACCAACTGCCTCAAAAGATAAAGAAAAAAGTGAAGTGCTTTGATTAAAAAGGTACAATAAAGACTGAAGAATGTTCTATTTTGGTTCAGCTTCTTAACTTGTTTTTAATCACAACAAACAAAATTAAAAACAGGCACTTGGACAGCAATGCAAGAACACACACACACACAAAATGAGATTGAAAACATTTAAAAACTATTTTTAAACTAAATTTTAATGAAAATATCTAATATCTGAGAAGAGATATCCTTCACAACAATTGATATCTGTCTTTCACAGTGTACTCCACGTGCAGATCACAAGGCATGGTACTGATGAAGTTGGGTAACTGAAATTTCACAGAAATGGCACCACAGAGAGGTAAAATGGTGCTCAGCCATCGAGTCAGGTACACCTGAACCTGCAGCACCTTGATGCTGTATCTGATTGCCAGCACTGTCTCCTCCCTGCTTCTGTTTTCTTAGGTAAATTTTGCTGAGGATGGTGAGTGAGATAGGAGATAAGAGGAAATCTAGACTGTATTCTAAAATTAATATCAAAGTGACATATTGAGGTCTTCTCAAGTACACAGCCAAACTGGCTGACTATGGGAGCTCAGCAAGAAAGCACTGCATGGATATGGGAGCTGAATGGAACAAATCCCTAAATTATATATGATTTCTATTACTTTATTGTTACCTAAACTTCATTTGGACTTTTCCAAATAATAAACCAATCTAAAAAATTTGCAGTTAAGCTAAATTAAGATTCTCGGGACGGCTCTTGTAACTGAAGTTTACGCAAAATTCTATTACAAAACATCTGCCTACAGTTGTGTAATCACTGTCAAGTCTGAGATTATACAGTGTAAACATCATATTAGGGTAAAGTCACTGATAGTGTCAATGCTTTATTAATTTTCTGAAGTTTGGTGGAACTTTTAACAAGTTTGCTGCACTCTTGTGGGTTTTTTCTTGTTATATTGTGTATTTCAGTTGGTACCCATAAAAATCACAGTGTGGTTTCCCCTAAATCCCCTTTCCTCTCCAAAACATAACATATAACATATTCTCTCAGCAAGCAAAGCTTCTGGTGAATTCTGTGATCCTTTCTAACAGTCATTCAGCATCAGCATGTATCTATAAACCAGGAAAAAATTCCTTTTGTCTTGTGAATTTCAGGCATTAGATGGTCATCTCTCCTGGAAAGGTATCAGATTAGTTTGTTCTGTAGATGGTTCACAGTGGAGTTCTCTTTTTTAATAACTTCCTAATAAGTAAATCAATGTACTGGTTTCCGCTGACTGAAAGTGCCTCCATCAAGGTACAAAGGCAGACTAAGAAGCCTTTTCATATTTCATCTGATCTCAGGTCATTGAATTGATTCTTTATATAATAGTGAAAAGAATTCAAGATTCTGTAATTAACATTCAGGGTACTGCTAGCACATGATCTTAGCACTCTCTATAGCAAAATGCCTGTTTTTTTTCTTGTGGCACTGCTTTTGCTAGCTGTTCCAAGGGTTTACTAAAATTGTGTGGTTCTGCCCTCTGTGCTCTAAAATTGCTGTATCAATGGAATTATTTTCCTCTTGACATCATACTATGAAAACACTTGCTTTCGATCAGCAAACTAAAAGGCTAGTTTTTACACTGACTTACAATTAGCCTAGATATTATTTTAGTTTATAGTCTTATTGTTTTTCTGAAGAACTCCAGGATTCTTAAGACATCACTAGCTTTGCACAGGGATGTATTTTTTAATAATTGTATTTATCATTATGTGTCATTAAAATGAAAATATCTGAAGTGCTTCAAAATAACATTCACAAGAATTTGAGAGTAAATGACACTAATCATAAGAGCACCTCAAAGTGTATAATTTAACAATACACAAAATAAGGAAAGCACAACACAGAATTCCCATATCAACTCAAGTTCTAAAAATCTGTACTGGAGCCAAGATACCTGGTGTCTTCCCTAAAGCTCCAGGAAATCAGTTTCTAAACACTAAAATGTTAAAGATGCAGGATGTAACTACTGAAACCCTTCTTTAGGGGCTCAAAACAGTTTCAGGGATTTTTGATAGGGATCTCACATTAAATTGACCTTTCCTGGTGAAAAGATGCATTACCTGTAAGCAGCTGCTAACCTTGCCCTGACCTGCCCTGAGTCCCAAGGCTATGGAGGTGTGACTGTTTCCTTTCCTGGCTGCTGCAGTTTCCCAGCCAATGGAACTCAGACGCATATTGCCAGCAGTGAGGGAGGTCATGTGGTTAAAGGGGAGAAAAAAGGTGTAAGAGAACCCTGACTTTGATCCTGATTGAGTCACTGGAGGGATGTGTGGCTATGAGGAACTACTTGGCTTCTTTAAACATCATCCAGGCTTCTGGTCTAGATAAGAAACCTTGCTCTAGAAACCACAGCCACACTGGCCAATGTAAGCATTACATGTAAATAAATGAAGAGGAAACAAATATCTGTTTGGTTGGTTGGTTTTTTTTTTTTTTTAAATTTTTTTTTTTTTTTTGTGAAATAGTTCTAAAGAACACTTAATGAGGCAGCCAGGGCTCAGGAAATGCAGGTAATTGTGCTCTGCAGATCTAAAAGCAGTGACAGCTCCCTTCTGTCCTGAGCACTGATCTACCATGCAGCTAATGCTCTCAGACTCCTGCAGGAGAAGGTAAAAGCTGAGGATTGTTTACCATTGCCAGGCAGGAAAGGTTGCCTATCCACCAGTGATTGAGCCCCAGCAGCACTGGCCTTTCAAACAGAAAGAGGCTGAGGAGATATTTGTAAGTTAAGCAGCCTTCTTGCTCCTTGAGGGGAACATACCCCTCAGCTGAAACATGAGCAGGTTGCTGCTAAACACCTTCCCTTCCTCCTAAAAGCCTCTTCTCAGGGGTAAAGTGGTGGAGAGTAAACAAAAAGGTATATAAATGTAGCATATTTCTATAAAATGCAATAAAACATATTTTGATACACATAAAAAAAGTATGACCAAAGGTTCAGATACTCCCACTGCATGGATTATAATAGCACCTGTGTACTTTAGAATACACTTAAATGATAGTTTGCTTCAGAACATACTTTGAAGAAAGAAGAGAACTCTGTTCCTTTTTGATCCTCATAAACTGTAGTTATTTTTGGAAGGAGAATTGTCAAAAATATTAATGTTATTGGATGGAGCAGCACAGTTTACAGTAATTGCTACTGGAGTCTGTCTGATGATTGGTGGTCAGTATTTTCACATGAGACTCCCCACAAAAAAATGTGCTCTTTAGCCTGTACTAAACCAAAAAAATACAGAGAATTTGGGTGAGGAACTGGAGAGCATCATTGTTTCATTTACAGTGAAAACCACTGCAGTTCCAGAGCTAGCACCCTGACTATGTGTCTGTGTATTCTCTGAAAATAGAGCTGGCTTTGGATTGAACCATCTCTCACCAGCTATACAGAGGGGAAGTGATGTCACTCTGAAAATAAATATAGAAATGGGTTTTCTGGAAATATTTATACTTTGTTCATGGATAAAGTGCTGAATGTACAGCCAAGGAGAGCCCACTGCTCAGCTTGCACCACTTGAAAAGAGGAAAGTTTTTAAATTTGCAAAGATTCTCACACCAGGGACTTTTTTTTTTCTTTTAAAATAACTGAGTCTTGACATAACCTTGTCTTTTTTAAAGGCCAAACATTTTCCTTACTCCCAAGTGCTTTGTGAGCCTTAGGGATATATTGTCCCTGGCAAAACTGGGATAGCAATATCCTGGGAACGGGTGATTTCCATCAGGGCCAAGGAAATCGCTCCAAACCACATTTCATTCTGGTTACAGCATTTTAATGAGATTTGCAAGCCCTTCTGAGACAGTCACAAGAAACATTCAGCCCCAAACCCTCAATCAGAATCCTGAAAGTTATTCTAATGTCTCAGCAAAAGATGGATCTTAGGACTCCAGTTTGGCTGTGATATTTCTTACATTATATTTAGCACTGATTAATTAGGGGGTGACTAAGTACTGACCTCTCAATTAATTTTGAAAGAAGATGGATGACTGGAAATACCTAACAACATTTGAGAAGTGACTCCTTAACTGTTTTCTGGAAAACAGCTTCCAAAAATCTTCTTCAATAACTTCCAAACCCCTTCATGATATGGATTTCATCTTAATCAAGCCACTCTTATTCTAATGAACACATAATTCCCTGTGAGAATATGAGCAAGTATTTATATGGGAAATAATAAAATTGTAGCTAGCAATATAACTCTTAATGTGCAATAAGAGTGCATATATGTGAATGCAAATGAAAGCACCATCATCTATCTCTCTGTGATCATCCCTCAGTTACTAACAGCTTCTTTGCAAACAGTGTTGCATGGATCCAGATATTGCACTTAGAGTGAAAAAAGCAGCTCATTGAGGACAGGATCAATAACACCAAAAGGATAAAATAATAAGGGGTGTAAAATAACTGTTAAAGAAACTAAGGGTTAAGAAGTAAATTTTTTGGGTAAAATGTGATTTAAATTTCATCAGAAATGAACTGTGATTCAGATCATGCTGTTTTTTCCAGTTTACACATTTTGAATTAATGTAGCATGGATTATGTTGCATAAAACAATGACAATACATGAATTCTACTCATGGAAATTACTCATCCATCAGCCAGTGTCAGGTACATTCAGAAGCACATGCATTAAGTTCTGCACTGTAAGTTCAAGTCATTTGTATGTGAATAATGCCAGTTGTGAAAATGAAAACAAGAAGAGATAAGGAAACTTTGGGATCCTTCTGCACTGACTTCTCTTTGACCCAGGAAAGAACAATGAATGTTTGCTTTCCCTTGCAAGGGGTGCCGACAAGGCTACACAAACAAAGAAGCAGAAGCTCAGCTGGTGCAAATTAGTACACTTGCATTGACTTAATGGAACTGCATCCTTTACCCCAGCTAAAGATGTGGACACAAATGTTAAAGGTTCCTCTGTTATAATTTTTTCAGTACAAGGATCAATCATGAATCCTTTCACAA